CAGGCTGCTGGCTGGACGTTGCCCCTCCAGGGCCACCTTCCTCGCCCTGTATATGGCGAGCTTGGCGTAGCCGAAGAGCACGTTGACCAGCCCCTGAAGATGTTGGGGTCCGTCGCCCTTCGGGTATCCAAATATGAGGACCGTCGGGGAGAAGTGAAGGCTGAACCTTAGGAGGATGTTTCTCAGGACCTTGAACAGCGAGTCCAGGCTCTTGCACTCCACGTATTGGTGCGCCACCATCTCCACTTTACCGCAGAACCGGCACTCCGGGGACGTGTCGGTGAAGCGCGCCAGGGAGACGTTGTTGGTGACGGTGCCGTGGGCGATGCTCCAGCTGAGGTCGCCGATGCGGTTGTACGTCGGTCTGCAGTAGAGTTACCTCCAGCGAGGCCTCTCCGGAGAGACGCAGGGCAGGGCTTTCCTCCAGGCATGGTCCTTGTGGCTCCTCAGGGTGTCCTGTTGGTGGAACCGTACCATGTAGGAGTAGAGCACCTTCCTCTTTACATTTGCGAAGACCACCTCCGGTAGGTCTTCTAGCCGGCACAGGTTGTGATCCGCCTTCGTTTGTCAGCATTGGCGATGCAGTGGCACGACTGAGAGCTCCGGTGGAGGGGGATCGAGAGGGGCCTCGTCATCCCCAACGCCGATGGGGGGCGTTCTCCCCGCTGCCGCTGAAAAGGCCCCCTTGGCTTCGGCCAGGATCCGGGCAGCCACCCGGAGCGACTGCAGCCCCCCTGTCTTTGCGGCCACGTCTGCTGGTCCGAGCCACCGGCCCCGTGTTTCAGGCTCCACCAGATCTCCCATCCTGGTGAGCTGCGCGTTAGCGAGGCGCCTCTCCATGCCAGGGGTGGTGGTGGTGGATGGCAGCTTTGTCTGTGGGTTCCTGAGGATCGGTTCGAAGACCAGATCCTCGGCCGATCGCGGTTGGTTCAGCCTCCTGACGGCGAGGGAGCTCCATGTCTGCAGGACGCTTCTGTAGAAGGGTGGCAGCTGTCCCAGTGGGAGGCCCTGCAGGTCCATGTAGAATAGTTGCTTGGAGCACCGCAGACCCCCCCAGCTGTTTCAGGAGGAAGGAGGCCGTGACGCTCCAGGCCGGTGCAGGGGCGGTGTGCAGGAACTTTTGCGCTGCCTGCAGTCGGAAGGTGGCCAGCTGACTCCGCACGCATACCAGCCCGTGACCGCCCTCGTACAGTGGCAGGGCCAGGACCCCAGCCGCGACCCGGTGTCCTCCACCCGACCTGAAGAAGTCGAGGACTCGCTTCTGAAGTGCGTTGACGAGGCTCATGGGGGGGTGCAGGGAGAAGTGTCGGTGCCACAGCATGGACGTCACCAGCTGGTTCACCACCAACGTCTTTGTCCTGAAGGCGAGGAACTTGCACAGGCGACTCCAGGTGGCCAGCCGCTCCTTCACCTTCTCCTCCAGCTCGACCCAGTTCCTCTGCGGTGGTTCCTCCTCTGGTCCGAGGAACACCCCCAGGTGGTACAGCGATGTTGTGCTCCAATTGATGGCTTTTGCCTTCTCGGGACACTCGGTCATGTCCCACGCTCCAACCAGCAGGCCGCTGCACTTTTGCCAGTTCATTTTTGATGAGGAGGCTTTCGAAAAGACCCCTCTCTCTCCTCTCTCTCCCTCCACTCGCCCCTCTCTCTCTCTCCACTCGCCCCTCTCTCTCTCTCTCTCCACTCGCCCCTCTCTCCCTCCTCTCTCTCTCTAATCTCTGTATCGTTCCAATTTTAGTATATGTACTGCCAGAACCACTCGCCCCTCTTTCTTTTTTTACAATCAGAGGAAACAAGAAGATGCTCGGTGTAGTCGGCACTTTGATCCGTTCATCATTTCGTTTTTTTATGCTTTGCTTTATGTAACCCCCTCCCCCCCCTTTTAAATGAAAGACCCAACAATTTTTTTTTTATGCTCTCCTTACCCCTTCCCTCTCTCTCTACCCCCCTCTCTGCCCCTCCTCTCTCTACCCCCCTCTCTGCCCCCCCTCTCTATCTGCCCCCTCTCTTCCTACTCCATTTGGCTCTCTCTCTTTTTTTATAACTACGACAAGTGCTGCACCTGCACTCAGCCCTTCCCACAGTCAAACGGCCTCCGACGGGTAGCTTAGATCTGCACGCACAGAGCTCTCCGTCATCTGCCACCGAGCACACGGCCTCCTCCAGCGCCCACTGCTCCTTGAAGGCCGGCACGGCGTGGGTCAGCCACGCATGGCGGAACTCCAGCCCACACACCCTGGCTCCGACCAGAGCGCGGAAGATGCCCAGGCTGCTGGCTGGACGTTGCCACTCTCCTCTCTCCCTCCACTCGCCCCCTCTCTCTCTCCGCTCTCCCTTCACTCGCCCCTCTCTCTCCACTCGCCCCTCTCTCCTCTCTCCCTCCACTCGCCCCTCTCTCTCCGCTCTCCCTCCACTCGCCCCTCTCTCTCCTCTCTCCCTCCACTCGCCCCTCTCTCTCCCTCCACTCGCCCCTCTCTCGCCCCTCTCTCCTCTCTCGCCAACCGCTGCCGCCGCTCTCCGTGTTAACGCGCTCCGGCCAAGGTTCCTGGTGGCGAATTCCGACCCACCGCACGTTAGAACCAGAATCTTGATTCATCATTGGGGGAATCCGATGAGCTGTGAAGCTCTTTCTCACAGATTGTCCAGTAGTAGAAAGTGTTTTTTTTTTGGCTCGTGATGCGTGAGCAAAGGAACCGTGCAGGTAGTGCGTTTGAGAGGCCCCGATGGTGCGCGTTCAAAAGAGTTTCACAATTCCCGACATCGCTTCACTCTGACACAGTCGCTGTTTAACACGGAGGCTTTTGCGACCAATATCAAAATAAGTTTTACCGAAGCTATGAACAGAAGGTGCATACAGGATTAACTGCACGTGTTGCAAATGTTATGTTGGGAAAACAGGACGAATGATCAGCACGAGACTAAAAGAACATCAGAGAAATATGAAATTATCCCAAATGCAACTCTCAGCAGTAGCAGAACACGCGTGCCAACAAGGAAACTCATTTTGATAATGTTGAAGTTCTGTGCAAAACTAGCTACTACTGGCCAAGACTAATTAGAGAATCTATCGAAATTCAAAGAAATCAAAATAACTTTAACCGTTCGGATAGCTACCGCCTTAGTGATGCGTGGAAGCGAATCATCAAATAACACATTATTTAAATTCATGCCTATAAAGGGCACCGTACTTCCATAGGGATTCCCGTTGGTACGGCTATTTTAATACACACAAAGGACAGGAAGGACAAGATCAAAGGGATCGCATAATGCACATGCATAATGTACGTCGCCTGATGAAGCTAGTTGTAATTACTGGCGAAACGTCGAACTCAGATTTTAAATGTTGTGGCTTGGCTCTCCAACACACCGGTGTGCTGTACTAGTGAAGAATTGGCACGTTCTGTTTACGTGACAACCCTTCCTAGTTGGCTATGTCGGGTGGAGGCGGGTTTTAACGACACATATTTTTACGCGATCTAACCCAAAAAAAAACGTATCTTACAGTCGGTGCTCTACGTGACTTTACCGAAAGAACCAAAGAAGATGAATCCTTGCAGTCACGAAAGCTTTAAATCGAAAAATAGTAATGGGAGGTTGAGATGGATCCAGAAGCCGGATCCCAGGGCTAGTTTAGGCACCGCGAGATTCGTGAACCCAGAGGCGTATCGTCGACCATCACATCATGGACCACCACCGCTCTGTGTAAACGTGGGGAAGGATGAGGAATGTGGAGGTCAAGGAGCAAGGACACAGCGAGGGGACACAGCGGCAGTCACTAGCACACACACACAGCGGCAGTCACTAACACACACACACACACGAGGCAGAGTCACTAACACACACACACACCCGGCAGTCACTAACACACAGACATACGAGGCAGTCACTAACAAACACACACACACACGAGGCAGTCACTAACACACACACACAGCAGCAGTCACTAACACACACACAGCGGCAGTCACTAACACACACACGAGGCAGTCACTAACACACACACACAGCGGCAGTCACTAACACACACACACACGAGGCAGAGTCACTAACACACACACACAGCGGCAGTCACTAACACACACACAGCGGCAGTCACTAACACACACACACGAGGCAGAGTCACTAACACACACACACAGCGGCAGTCACTAGCACCCACACACAGCGGCAGTCACTAACACACACAAACACACACGAGGCAGAGTCACTAACACACACACACGAGGCAGTCACTAACACACACACACAGCGGCAGTCACTAACACACACACACACACACGAGGCAGAGTCACTAACACACACACACACAGCGGCAGTCACTAGCACACACACAAGGCAGTCACTAACACACACACACACGAGGCAGAGTCACTAACACACACACACACAGCGGCAGTCACTAACACACACACAGCGGCAGTCACTAACACACACACGAGGCGGTCACTAACATACACACACAGCGGAAGTCACTAGCACCCACACACAGCGGCAGTCACTAACACACACACACGAGGCAGAGTCACTAACACACACACACAGCGGCAGTCACTAACACACACACACACGAGACAGTCACTAACACACACACGAGACAGTCACTAACACACACACACGAGGCAGAGTCAATAACACACACACAGACACACGAGGGTTTAGCCCTGAGTGGGCCAATGTATGCATACCACACTCATCCCTACACACACAGGGTACTCAAAAAAATAGATCCCCCGTATAGCATTAACAAACTGTTGGGGCAAGTGCTGTTAGCGAGTAGCATTAACAAACTGTTGGGGCAAGTGCTGTTAGCGAGTAGCATTAACAAACTGCTGGGGCAAGTGCTGTTAGCGTGTAGCATTAACAAACTGTTGGGGCAAGTGCTGTTAGCGAGTAGCATTAACAAACTGTTGGGGCAAGTGCTGTTAGCGTGTAGCATTAACAAACTGTTGGGGCAAGTGCTGTTAGCGAGTAGCATTAACAAACTGTTGGGGCAAGTGCTGTTAGCGAGTAGCATTAACAAACTGTTGGGGCAAGTGCTGTTCGCGAGTAGCATTAACAAACTGTTGGGGCAAGTGCTGTTAGCGAGTAGCATTAACAAACTGTTGGGGCAAGTGCTGTTAGCGAGTAGCACCTGTGAAGGTCGTCATGGAATATGAGGGGGTGGTTGTCCAGCACCACGGCCGACCGCCTTTGTCTTCCCAGTAGCTCTGACAGTGGTGCTTTGCGGTTGTCATTGAGATCCGGTGCAGGTTACATGAGTGTCAAGCTATGATGGGATCCATTCTATTGCCCACGGTAGCGTTCATTGTTTCGGGCATAGCGACATCAAATTCTATAACCAACGTTTGTGCTTCATCATTACGGCAATTGGGCGACACGCTTGGAGCTGCAATGCTGATTTATAAAGGAGGACTTTAGTAAACTCATGGCGATGTGGAACATAACAGCCACATTGTTCCCACTTGCAAATTGAACCGGGCGCAGCTTCACGAACACAATCAGTCTCGCTGCTGAACAGAGTGCAGAGTTTAGCCGGGAGACTTCAACGCAGCCCGTGCAGTCGACTGCGTGGATTAGGCACCGGTTAAGTGCAGAAAAATCATTGCGACATCGGGCAGCATGGCTCTGTAACGATGCTTAGCGCGCTGCCTGTGTGCGTGTGCGAGTTGCCACAAAGGAGCAAGGGTGGCCTATGAACGGATATTGTAAAGTGAATATTATCATAAATGCGTGCACAAATACAGAGCCTAATAAGACTGAATCCAGCTGGCACGGGCTTGGAGCCGTCATAAATAATCATGCAAGCGAGTGTTGCAATTGAGCGCGCAGAACACCGATCCTCGCTTTGACCGATCAAGAGATGGAAGGACACCACGGGGGGTTGGAGAAGCCAATCCCTCCCTCCCTCTTTATTATTTTACGACCAGAGGAAACAAGACGATGCTCGGTGTCGTCGGCACTTTGCTTCGTTCATCATTTCGTTTTCGCTCTTGTTTTTCTTCAATGCTATGTGCCCCCCCCCCCTTTTTTTAAATGAAATATTTCACAAAAGATTTCACGCTCTGCTCTCCTCCTTCTTACCCCTTCCCTCTCTCTCTACCACCCCCTCTCTCTATACCCCCTCTCTCCCTACGCTATGTCTATGCTCCCCCTGTATTCCATGTTATATTTGTCAAAAAAAATCACAGTGCATGGACGCTGCCGCGCGGAGAGCGGTCCCGGCACGGGTGGTGGAGGAACGGCAGCTCGAGCACGTGGCCGGGCTGTTCCTCGCTGGGGCTCACCGCTGCTTGAGGCACGCGCTCCTCACTCCAGACTTCTTCCTCGACCACATATTCGCCACGCACAGCAGCGCGGCCGACGCCATGACAGAGGAAGGTATTTCCGGGGGTTTCGCGATTTGGTCGCTCCGCTGCCGTCGCCGCACGGCGGCTCTGCCACGCGGTTTCGGGGAGCGACGTCCCAGCTCACGAAGCGAAACGTCGGACTTTGTGCCGAACAAATACACGGCGCAATCCATAAATAAACACATCCGAGAGGGGTGAATATCCTGTTATGAATAATCAATTCAAGGTGCTGTGTTTAAACGTTTTCAAGCCCTTTAAATGGTTAGGTCTCGTTGGAATTCACATGACATTCATCCCGCCGATCACAGATAGATAGCGATTGGAACCGGTGTTGGTGATTGTATGAATGTCGTAACTCAACACAACGCATACCTTCTGATGCTGCAGGGAGCAACACTGACATAACAGAGATAGCGAGGGACGTTCACACACTGTGGGCAAGCGGGGGAATGAGCGGAGAGCAGGGGTAGCGGTGTGGGGTGACTTCACGACCAACATCCCTCTTAGAGCGATAGACTACGAGACGATGTTGCTGCTCGTACGTTGGCCGGATGACTCGATCCGAAATGAACACCTCTACTCATGACAACCACAAAAATAACTCATACGTCACTCACTTTTAAGAGTAGTCTTGGTGATGGGCAACACGCATGAAGCTGCAATGTTCATTCATAAAGGAGGCCTTTAGTAAACTCATGGCGATGTGGAAGATAACAGCCACATTGTTCCCACTTGCGGATTCAACCGGGTACAGCTTCACGAACACAATCAGTCTCGCTGCTGAACAGAGTGCAGAGTTTAGCCGGGAGACTTCAACGCAGCCCGTGCAGTCGGCCGTGTGGATTAGGCACCGGTTAAGAAAAATCATTGCGACATCGGGCAGCATGGCTCTGTAACGATCCTTAGCGCGCTGCCTGTGTGCGTGTGCGAGTTGCTGCAACGGACCCCTATAACCCGATATTGTGAAATGAATAGAATCATAAATGAGTGCAAAAATATAGAGCCTAATCAAACTCTGAATCCAGTTGGCAAGAGCTTGGAGCTACTGTATCATAAATAACAAGGCAACCGAGTACTGCAAATGAGCGCAAAGAACAGCGACTCTCACGAGGTAAGAGGGGGCGGTGAGTGGTGAGGGAGGAGAATCCCCCAGCCACCGCCAGGTTTTAAAGGTTTGATCATTCATGACACTGTTTACAAAATGTTAAAGCCTGCATTGCGAACCTTCAGATGAGTGTCAGGAAAGCAAAGCAGCTGATTTTTAATTATATATTCGTGTAAAATGTTCAACATTGTACTTTGTGTAAGATATACACATTCTGCTATACACACAACACCATTACCATATTCTCCGGTTATAAGACGCTCCAGAAAGGAAGACGCACCCCAAAGCTGTGCCTGGCGTCAATTGGGTTACACAAATCGGTCTCACACAACCTCCGGCGTTATATGATGCGCCCCAATATTTTCTAAAAACTGCGCTCAAAAAGATTGCGACTTATAATACGGAGAACACTGCATCTTTCTCGATATCGTTTAACCTTGCATCCCACTCACACACGGAGACACCGCAGCCGCTTTGGTCACGTGTCAGGACTGACGAGCCCACTGTCGTGCGGCAGACCTGGCTGCCTTGCTAGAGCTCCTTCGTCTGGGCACGACGGAGGAAGGGCACGGGGACCACCATGAGGAGCAGGCGCACGACGGCGAGGAGAAGCACCGTGGGCCCGAGGGGACGTGCTACAGCGCGCACGAGCTCTTCGACGTCTTCGAGTTCAATTCGAGCGGCGTCGCCCGGCGCAACTTCTCCGCGCTCGCCGTGGCCATCGTCCAGCAGCTGCTGAGCGGGGCCTGCTGGGTCCACGGCGACGAGGAGGCGACGGCGCCCGGCGCGGCCCCCACCACTGTGGAGAGTGAGCCTGACCCACCTTCACCTTCACCACACCTTCACCGTCACCCCACGCTCACCTCGGCCCGCTCGCGCCGTGGTGGCGACACAATGTTGCCCGTGAATTAAGTAGGGACGACGCGTGCGTGGCCAATGGGGAGCGATGCCACGCGGTCAACAACCAGTGGAAGGCATCGATTGCGTCGTCGCAGAAACGTTTAGACGGCATCGGAATGGCCGCGTGTTCACGTGCGGAGAAATCTGGCACGGGGTTGAGTGTGGGATTGAGCTGTTTACGGCAATGTGGTCAAGCGTGGGTTTGAGGCGTCGTGTGTTTAAGCGCGAGTTAGATCTTGGGATCTAGCATGGGGTCGAGCATGGCATCAGAATCGCTATTGTTTCTCTAGATTCTTGCTCTGCAACTCCTTATATGGACAAGCACACACCCGCACAGCTTAACCTTAATTAAGCATGACACACCTACTTTATTTTTTCATAATGTAGGCCTCCATTTTTTTCCCAGACTCATTCGATCACTTTACAGCGCCACGCATCGTCGCCTTGCATGTAATTCATGAATATATACTTTCATGTGCCAGTCAAGCTGGCACGTCAAATGTGCCAATCATTTACATGGCCCTGATCTCTGTAAACGTAGATCACATTTCTTCTTGATGTACTCAACTGTTTCCATGGGCTTTACCAATCTTCAACATTTTTTTGTGAGCATTCACGCTCCAATTGCTTTATTATGGCGCGCTCAGTAACGTTGGCATCTGATCTCCCTTCTTGTTCTATTCCTCGTGTAATTACATAACTGCATTTTGACTTAAAACTTTTGTGACTCCAGGAATTCGTATTCTTTGGTTCTTTCGCTAAAGTCACATAGATAGAAAAATAAAAGTAACAAAAATAAAAACTACGATGTTTCGATCACAACACAAGCGTGGCACAAGCGTCCTGGTGTCAGAACGAAGTGGGCGGGGTATACATTCCCTGGGGTCAGAGAGCACCAAGGTGAAGCACGCAAGATTACAAAGATATATACAACAAGTTATGACAAAGTGGTTGATGACGTCCTTCCAATGACGTCCTTCCAATTACAGAATTGTGGCATTTTCATCCCTTTTCACATCTATACATTTCATAATCGTCGTCTTGCGGTCTCTTATCGCTCGGTTTCTCTCTTTTTTATTTTATTTTATCCCCTCCCCCACCAGTTCCCAGAACATATATTTGCTTACGCACATATTCGTACTCAACACAGTCTTGTGCACGGACGCTGGCGCCGTTGGTGCAGCGATGGTCGCCCATGACTCGGGTTGCTTGCCACAGCTTCGTACCCCTGTGGGAGTTGCACTCGGCCCATCGTCCCTCATTTGTCAGCAATAGTTACGTGCATGGATTGGTTTTTTTTTCCACTAGCTCACACAAGGTTTATAAATCATATTCTTTGGGTCTTTCGGTAAAGTCACGTAGATCGAAACGTCGTAGTTTTGTTGTTATCTTTTTGTTATTTTCTTTGAACCTATCTACGTGACTTTACCGAAAGACCCAAAGAATATGGATTCCTGCAGTCACGAAAGCTTTAAGGCAAGATTTAAGGTTTGGAAAGTTTCATGAATCTCTCGGTGATCCGCCAACCATTTGCTCCCAGGTGCGCACGCCGACGTCACGGAATGTGTGCCGTGACGTCATCACCTCGGATACGTCCAAAACTCGTTTTTATTCTCGATTCGGTTGAAATATCGTGGCTCGGCCCTGTTCTAGGATGAATAAATTAAACATCGGGGACACATCCATCACGTGCACTCGGAGCACAATGCTAGAATTGGGAGTTTGCTGTGAGTTCATGAAAGTGGTCATTCTTGGAATTTTGCCCACAGTGAACATTAAAAACCCCGTGACATCACAATACAAGAACCCTGTGACATCAGAGACAAGAATAGGCCACGCACAGTGAAAAAACAACAACATCTCGGCCACCTATTTGTTAATCTTAAACCTCTGCTACACATTCACCTCCACCTTTCACACACATATTTTTAAAGCCACCCCTTTTGACTTTGCCTAAGCACACACAAGATTAGCACACGCCAATCGTAAACACGTGGCACATTTCACGACGTGAATACAAGCAGCGGTGGAGTGGCGTTGCGGTGGCTATAACCCTGCAGTCTGAACCCGGTGGCCCGAGTTGGATTCCCGAGCGATATCCAAACCGATCCTCGGCCTGTGCCCATCACCAACTTGCCCTGACCAGCATGGCGAAGTAGCAGTGCGTTGACCAAGCTCTGTCAATCACGACAATTGTGTTTCATGACCAATTTTCTGTTTCCCTTTCCCAGAGTATGGATATGGAACCTTGGCGGTGCTGGTGGTGAGCCTTTCCTCCCTGATGGGAGTCGCTGTCATCCTGTTCACGTCGTGCCAGGAAACTTACCGAGTCATCCTGCAGACCTTCATCGCTCTGGCTGTGGGCACCCTCTCCGGAGATGCCACCTTGCACCTGATCCCCACGGTGCGTCTGGTTTGAACAACACTGATGGGATGTATGCAATATACTTTTATTTTGGATGTGGAGGTACAGATATGGGGAATGGATCATTTGTCTGCTTATTTTTTTGTTGTTGAAATTCATGGAACTCATTAATACAATTGCAGAAGTGTTGGTTCGTGACAACATATCACCCGAGGTCCACGTTTGAAAAATAAAAATGCACCTGCTCTGACAAGATCTCCGAAGCTAAGCAGGTTTGAGCCTGCATCGTTCTTGCATAGATGTCCACCATGCACACTCTTAGATTGTCATAGGTGACTACAGAACTTATAGACGGTGGGCACGTTGTACCGTACTTCTATGCCCCCACGTCTAAGCGTCTGGCTTCACCCCACATTGCCCAGCGTGGTGAAGTGATGTGCGGGTATGGTCAAACAACCCCCACAACCAACACGGCACGGGGTGCCTTCATCCAGCAGTGGAGTGACAAAAAAGTCCATATATGTACAAATATCAGTAATTGCTAGGGATAAACATGGTACCCTTATCACCCCAAGTGCAGGTATAGTCACACAAGTATGAGCTAGGCGCCACTCATTAAAAGCTAGGGTGCCGTAGTAAATAGTTGCAGAAACAACCGCATTCCGGATTAACCCATAATCCGGATTAAATATCCCCACTGCTCGACAGCCCAACAATGGTGTAGTGTTTGTAACAGCCCTGCTTTTACACACTGCGGGGATTCCGTGAGAGTCAATCACACGCAATTTGGAAAGTGCTTATGCCAAGGAAATTATTTTTAAAATATATAAATAATACTGTAGTCATGACATTTGGGCTATTTGGGCCTAGGCGCAGGGTTGTCAGCAGGCTAGCGGGGCCGTGCTCCGTGAGGATGTCTGCTGTGGCGGAGCCGTGCGGGACGCAGGCGGTGAAACTGCATCGAGGCCCGTGGGTGGTGACGCGGCCCAGCGGTAGCGCCGGGCTCGCCGCTTGCTTTAGAGATTCGCGGTTCGAATTCAACGGTCGCCCTGATTAATACTGCGGCGGGCCTTACAGATCCCGTGACGTCATTCACAAGAGCAGGTCACTGCGTGTGGCGTCGTGATCCAAATTTGAAAAATGTCCCTCCAATTACTCGAAGGGAATCGACATCGCAATTATCGGCCCATCTTGCGAATGTCCCGCGTTTATCCGGTTAAGCAACACGGATGTGGTTCACTGCCCTGACCACTTCCTAGTGTTCAGGCTAAGTTGTAAATTCAGAGGTAACCCATACACATGGAATCTGCCAACCAATCCCAAGCACGACGAGCATAGTCATCACAGTGTGCAGCACCAAGTGAGTTTGCTTTGCAGATATCCAATGGGGAAATCTCTGCCTCTTGACTTACACACTCGATTACAATCACTCGGTTATGTTAAACCGGCCAGGTGGCTCACCGGTAGAGTGAGTGTATTGTATATGTGGGTTATGAAAATTTGATGAAAATAATGAAAATTAAATGAAATTTAAAATGCGCATAATTTATCCGAAATTATGCGCATTTTATAATTATGTGTATAAATTATGCTAATTCGAGAGATAATCGTATAAATTTATGCGAGTGGGTGTGGTTATGATAATGCTGGTCGTTATGATAATTAGGCCCTGCCACGCTGACGAGGGTTGGGTTATCAATCGGGATGAGACAATTAATCGTATGCAGTTATGCAGGTGCCGTGATCATACCAGAGTCAACTCGACTTCATTGTTTAACTTCGTATTATCGATCGGTATAATACGATTATTCTCACTTTAACATGTACTGAATGTATTAGTGTGCTTAGGTCACCAGGTTCAGATCTCAATTGCAGAATTCAGTTATTATGCAGAATCACGGATAGAATCACACACAACCTTTCTGCTTTAATCAATTTTATTTTCAAGCTAAACTTTAATTTTTGGATAATAGGAGAACTCTCAATCTCGGAATTTTAACACAGCATTAACACGGTAACCATCACGATTGCGTTGTTTTACTCTGGTCACGGCACATATGGTTAACCACCGCGTAACGCGACCTCGGTTGTTGAGAGAGAAAGTCGTAAAAAAAAACATGCAAAGGCTACTCTAAGCAAAACCTTAACTCTCTATTATGAATGATTATACTGGAATTTGCACACACACAACCGCGTCCATTCCTAGATCCATAACAAGATTATGCAATTAAATACGACCGACTAAATATTTCTCAGTGACCGTATCCACGTAACTCGATGGCAACAATGTTCTTCGTTATCAATTGATTTTTAATGCACCACCTTGGAGTGGCAACCCTTCTTGATTGTCCCGATATGCGTATCGTGTGTCTTCTTTATCACTGGTTCAATTCTTTGCGTTAAGCAGACGCCGAGGTTGGCATCTCTTGTGTCAAAAATGTGTTTGTTTCCTGCGGAGTGGTGGGGGTGTGAGGGTGAGAGTGTGGAGGAGGGGGGGGGGGCATACGAACACGGCTGGCACAGTTTCTGTCCACAGCTGGCTGGAAGAGTCGGCACGACGTTCGCCATCGTCGCGCGATGATCCGTCGTCAGATAGCGCCCGCAGCTCGTCCGCTGGCTGCAGCTCCTCACTATTGTCTGGGTTCCCAGCCGGTGCTGCTCGGTGTGCGTGTGGGTCGAACCCACGGTGCGCTCGCTGGCGCCGACGCTCTTGCTCACGGGCGGCTGGTCAGGCTCTTTCCGCTGCTGAACGAGCCAAGTCACACGCTATCTCTCTGTTGAGATGCCCGCGCGCTCTCAGCGCTGATTCGCTAACAGCCGGCTTCTTCACTGCTGGATGACTGCAGCACGCTCTTGCTTGGCGGCTGGTCAGGCTCTTTCCGCTGCTGGATGGCTGGCACTTGATGTAGGAATAAAGTTTTGAGTGATACTTCGTCCCTCAGCCCTGAATTCACACTCGGTGGCACCTCGCCAATTCTGTGAGTCTCGCCATGCTCGGTTGATAGCGGGCTCCTCAGAGCCAGCCGCTTGCTCTCGCCATCTCTTCTGCCACTCTCCGGCTGTTGAACTCGTTGTGTCGAACTTAACTGGAACGGACTGGACTTTCGAGATGATGGTGGGCCGTTATATTCAAAAAGAAGAATCTCCGCTCTGCTCGGTGGGGAGGGGCGTGGCTTGTGTGTGTGTGCGTTCGTGTTTGTGTGTTTGTCAAGCCATCTGTGTTATACGACCCTGGGGGGGGGGAAGGGGGCGACCCTCTCTTTGACTGGGTTTATTACTGTTTATAGCTCATCTCCTGGATTTTCTGGTTTAATGGCCCTGTTACGATCGACATCTGTTTTTTTTTGCTGGCTCTGGTTTACGTGTTTTTATTCATTCATTTTGGGTCATTACAAATATATATATATGCAAATATTATTATTGATATTAATTTTGGAAAAAGGTCGATATCCAACAAGTGACTCACGATCGAAGGTTTCGAGTGAACATCCTGGTTGGGGTTGACTCACCCCGTCATTTCTGCAGGTCGATACAATGAGTACCACTTTATGGAGAAGTCAACAGTAGTCGTCCTTTGGATATAATCACATACCCTGCCATGGGAATGTGAATTTACCAGCACTGGCTCAGCTCTTTATAGAGGAGATGAACTCCGACGTCTCAATGCTCATTATTTGAGCCGGAATGCACTTTGACTTTTTGACTACGCCTGGCACGTGTTAAAGTGCAGGAATACATCTCAGAGTGGCTGGTGAGTGTTGCAAACCATTTCGCTTTCAGATGCTGGTCCTGCACGACCACAGTGATGGTCACAACCACGCCGAGGAGGACTTTGTCGAGAAAAACAGTCACGTGTGGAAGCTGATGGCTCTCCTGGGAGGAATCTACATGTTCTTCTTGGTGGAGAAGATCTTCCATCTGCTGATCGCTTCATCTCAAGGGGTACGCGAGCTCCCTGGAGCGGCACCTCATTGGGACGATGCATGCGTTACATGCAGGCGCGGTCTGCGGGCAGGGCCTTGGATTGAGCTACTTTGTCAGTAGCGTACGATAGCGACATACCACATCGCAGCTAGTTCACGTGCACGACACTGGTGCGTGTCGGGTCTGGGTGTAAGGCCGCATGCACAAGGGCCCTTTGTTTCACTGATTCAAGTTCAGGCATGTAATTTGGAAGAGCAGCCTCTTTACAAAAGCATTTCGTTGTTTTGCCAAATCATCCCTGATAAGCGCTCATTGAAAATTCCTTGAACAAGCACCTTATATATACGCTGGGACCGAAACATAGGAACGTGTTTCAGCGCCAAGGAGAGCTAACACGCACGGCACGGGGAGACTTGGCTGATGGCCGATGGGTGGTTGACTTTTTCCAGCTGAAGGGGTTCAATCGTGTGACTTTACCACTTCTGGCGTTACAAGTGTAGAGTAGTTCTAGCCCGGGTGTGTCTTGAACCTCGTCTTTATCACGTCTTCCACACAGCGTGTCGTCACACACCAGAGAGTCGCTGTGTTCAGTTGCCGCCCCGAACCACAATCTCTCCCTCCTCTCATTCTCTTCCCCGTCCTTTCTGGAACGTCCCACGACTCTCCGCCAATCCCGTTCATTTCTCCTAGAAAGTTCTCCCAACCGACCCTGTATATCTATTTAGTAACCAATTCGACGTGAATGTTCTCCATCTTCAACTCCGATCGGTTCCGCGCCCACGATAGCTCCTCGTCAATGAGTGCCGGGCACGCCATTCGAACTCACGAGGAGCCCTTAGACCTGGTGAGTGTAGATTTTTCTCTTGGCATCCCGTACACAAGGTTTAGGTTGCACCCTATGGATAGGCGGGGGTCCACTTTGTGTCAAATGCAGAACAGCAGCTGCAGGAAGGAAGATTTAGAAACAAACACTGCAAAGAAAGAGCCAATTGCCAAAACGTTTGCAAACTGTAAAATAACAACTGAAGATATGCGAATAGAAAAAAACTGCACGTTGTGAAATGGGAATGTGATATCCTTCACACGTGTAAAACAATTACAGCTGGGATTGCCAGTCAATAATTAATTCGGAGAAGAACCCTTTTAAGTGAAAACAAGATACACACTACGTGGAACATAAACATCGTACATTTACGATTGTCAGGCCACAGAGTGTGTTACGTTTGTTCATGCCGACATCTTCTGTGTCTGGGGTGAATGCTCCAGGTGATTGGTACACGTTTCATCACAGACAGGCCTGCTGGGCGAGTGGAATGGTTTATTGCCGATACAGCAGACAAAGAGCAAACACACCGACCACACAGGTGGCTGCCTGACTTGGTTTTAACAACAATCACCTGGCAGGACAAAATATGTCGGTGATAAATGCACACTTGCGTGTCTGCATATATATATTTTTTATAATATGCAACATCTCTAAGCACAGTATTACACCGTGATAATAATTTACCCATAAAGGAGCTCGAGATTTAATCTGACATCCCACATACACAATTAAACATTAAAACTAACTTCTAAGCAGATTGTGTCAAGATGTGATTACAAGTAAGTTGCTTTAGAAAATATACGGGGCATGTGTGGGAGGTTGTCGAGAAGAGGAGAGCAGTGGTGGGGACGAGCCGATCGCTGAATGTTTGAATGTTTGTTGAATTTCCTTAGTACCGTACGTAGCCAACCGTGCCAATCGGATGTGCGGGGAAGGTTTTAGAGAACAGCAGAGCAGTGTTGGGGAAGAGACGATCTTGCTGGACGTGCACTGGTAGTGCGGGTTGCGGCTGACCACGGTGCCACTGCTCATCCACAGCAGGATGGCGGCCAGGAACGCGAGCAGCAGCAGCAGCAGCAGCAGAACCACTGCGGACACTCGCACGACCTGGCGCTGCGCGACTCGTTCAGAGCCGGCAAGGCCGGGCGTGGCACGGCCTCCACCACACGCCTCGTGAGCACCGGGGCCCCCACTGCCGTCACCCACGTGGCAACGCTCACATGGAACACCGCACGGTCCACGCTGCTGCCATCCATGTCGTTCCACATTGGTCCCATAGTATAGTCACTGAGCTCGCCTTCCTGCAGGAAATACCAAATCTATTTTCGCTAAAGTGTAATAGTATAATAATACAAATAATCACACTTGTTTCAAGTATTATCAGTAGTATCTGCCACTTGAAAGCTATATTAAGCGTGTGAGAGATAGGATTGCTGTATAAGGGGTGGCCTTGAGTCAATGTTAGCGAAACTTGCGTCGGAGTCCGGCCACTGCTGTTCTCCTCGAGCCGCTGGCACCGGGGGATGCGAATGTGCCGTGCCATGCTGCGCCCCCTCCCAGGACACGGAGGAAGAGGCCGAGGTGACCCCAACGTTGGTCGCGCTTCCGAAGCATCGTGGCACGTTCAAAGGTCAGCTTCTACACAGCCGTGTGCTTCACTTGAGCTTTTCTGTGTGATTGTTATCATATGGGTTACATTTACAAACCCTTTGAGCTGCAATAATAATAATAACAAGAGGTTACAACCCTTTGTCCATTCACTTTTTGCCTTGAGTTTGTTGTTCGTACCGGCCTTTCAGTCTTTGGAAATTTGACCATTCTTCACCACGCTGTGCAATGCAGGTTAGTGAACGTGGAGTGCCAGAACTGGTTCAGATACTACTCACCGCTGATGTTAGCTGCAGACAGGAATCAAACTCGTGTTGCTGGATGTATAGTGCAGTGCTGTGGTAATCGGTGTGCGCCTGATCCACCCTGCACTGCTTTACTGCGGTGGTTTCAGTTGGTAACATTCGATGGCTGTGAACGAGTCCACGTGCCATGGACTGCTCTCCCAGGTTCTTGCTGCAGCAGGCTTTCCGCCTCCTCTGCCTGGCTATTTGAGGGGGTAAATGGACTTGGACGCACATCTGCGGGTATTTAATGCTCCATAATTCCCAACGGTTGCAGCGCTGCTTGACCCGAGCACATCTGTGGTGATACTCTTTGGTTCTATTCGGTAAAGTCACGTAGGTAAAAATACAATAACAAAAATCACGACGTTTCGGCCACAACACAAGTGGCCTTCATCAGGTGAAGGGACCGGACTGTCCAGAGGACAGCGTTAGAGTGAAGACAGCCAAGCCCAGGTCGCGTCCTTTAAGCTTTAAGCGACCTGGGCTTGACCGTTTTCACTCTAACTCTGTCCTCTGGACAGTCCGGTCCTTTCACCTGATGAAAACCACTTGTGTTGTGGCCGAAACGTCGTGATTTTTGTTATTTTATTTTTACCTACGTGACTTTACCGAATAGAACCAAAGAGTATGGATCCTTGCAGTCACGAAAGCTTCAAATCTAGAATCTGTGGTGATGCCTGCGCGACTCCCCAGGAATGAGTTCCCTGGCCATCATGATCCTGGTTGGCGACAGCATCCACAACTTTGCCGACGGGCTGGCCATGGGTGCTGCCTTCTCGGCCTCAAACCGCGCGGGCCTGACGACTTCGCTCGCCATCTTCTTTCACGAGGTTCCTCACGAGATAGGTGACCCGCTTGCGTCCGATTCGCCCGCGTCCTCCCTGTTTTTGTGTTTTGGGATGCATCTTGAAATGGGGGCGCATTTGAACGCCTTTCAAATCCACGCTCTGTCGTCGGAAAACCATGCACAAGGGTCAGTCTCTGGATAATTATGGTGAGAATGCGCTTCACTTAAACGTTTTAAATAGGGTCCTTAAAGTTGAATGATCACAGAAGCTATGCATGTTGAATTGCTGTAGTCTGTACGGTACGAAATAAGTTCAACGTACGTACATACAATGCCAAAGAGCTTGTGAATCTCAGAACCGTAGAGACACTGGCACGTGTGCGTCACGCTGGTCGCCTCGTGTGCTCACACCGTACGCCCCCACCCCTTTCTACTCGAACGCTCAGGGGACTTTGCAGCGCTGCTGAACTCCGGGATGAGAGTGTGCCCAGCCCTCGTCCTCAACTTCATTAGCTCTCTCACGGCCTTCACGGGGCTCTACGTGGGCCTGTCCCTCTCCAATGACACCATCGTGCAGCAGTGGATATTTTCTGTAACCGCCGGCATGTTCTACTACATCTCTCTCGTCGACTTGGTCAGTGCCCTGCCCACGCCACACCGGCTCGCAGCCACTGACGCATCGCGCGTGGTGGCTACACGCAACACCCTGCTCTGATGAATACCTAGGGAATTAACAACCCGAGACCATGATCAGTTAAGAGTGGCTGCAATGTAGAATGTGAATCCACGTGAACTTTCCACAGTTTAATTTGGAGACATGTTGTTCATGGCCTCTAAGGGTGCGATGCACATCTTTCCAGGACAGCTCTCCAAAGACGACGTGGCCAGAACCATGATTGTTGATCACCAAACTGGGAGGTGAACCCTCGGAGTGGGATGATTTGATGAATTGCCACAATTCAGGGTTGCGGTTCATTGTTTTTAAAGAATAGATTTACAGTGTTCTCAACAATGTCTTGAACATTAAGCACAATGTTGTGCTTAATTTGTGTGATTTCTTAAGGACGCAGTGGTCATATTAACAAAATAAAAAGAACACATCAACAAATACGGGTTTTCACACATCAACAAATACGGGTTTTCACGCATCAACAAATACGGGTTTTCACACGTGATGATATGCATGAGGGAGGGATTTGGGTATTTCTGCCCCAGGACACCAGAACAGACCTCTCTCCTCCCCCACCGCTTGGGACCTGGAGAATTTTCCCGTTTGTCTCCCCGAAATCTATCTCTGGATGCGTGCATCATGAGCCTAGATCAATAAAATTATCGATATCACCCAATAAACTCACCTTGCATGTTAGTTTATGGCCACTTGTGCTGTTAGCTATCTGTTAGCTTTCTGTTAGCTATCTGTTAGCTATCTGTTAGCAATCTGTTAGCAATCTGCCCTCTAGCGCCTGCTGCTGGGGTTGCTGCCTGATGGAATGTCGTGCGATGTCGGTACCTGGCATGTCGTGTGATGTCTGTGTCAGTACCTGGCATGTCTTGTGATGTCTGTGTCAGTACCTGGCATGTTGTGTGATGTCTGTGTCAGTACCTGGCATGTCTTGTGATGTCTGTGTCAGTACCTGGCATGTTGTGTGATACCTGTGTCAGTACCTGGCATGTCGTGTGATGTCTGTGTCGGTACCTGGCATGTTGTGTGATGTCTGTGTCAGTACCTGGCATGTCTTGTGATGTCTGTGTCAGTACCTGGCATGTTGTGTGATGTCTGTGTCAGTACCTGGCATGTCGTGTGATGCCTGTGTCAGTACCTGGCATGTTGTGTGATGCCTGTGTCAGTACCTGGCATGTCTTGTGATGTCTGTGTCAGTACCTGGCATGTTGTGTGATGTCTGTGTCAGTACCTGGCATGTTGTGTGATGCCTGTGTCAGTACCTGGCATGTTGTGTGATGTCTGTGTCAGTACCTGGCATGTCTTGTGATGTCTGTGTCAGTACCTGGCATGTTGTGTGATGCCTGTGTCAGTACCTGGCATGTTGTGTGATGTCTGTGTCAGTACCTGGCATGTCTTGTGATGTCTGTGTCAGTACCTGGCATGTTGTGTGATGCCTGTATCAGTACCTGGCATGTTGTGTGATGTCTGTGTCAGTACCTGGCATGTCTTGTGATGCCTGTGTTAGTACCTGGCATGTCGTGTGATGTCTGTGTCAGTACCTGGCATGTCTTGTGATGTCTGTGTCAGTACCTGGCATGTCTTGTGATGTCTGTGTCAGTACCTGGCATGTTGTGTGATGTCTGTGTCAGTACCTGGCATGTCGTGTGATGTCTGTGTCAGTACCTGGCATGTCTTGTGATGTCTGTGTCAGTACCTGGCATGTCTTGTGATGCCTGTATCAGTACCTGGCATGTTGTGTGATGTCTGTGTCAGTACCTGGCATGTCTTGTGATGCCTGTGTCAGTACCTGGCATGTTGTGTGATGTCTGTGTCAGTACCTGGCATGTCTTGTGATGCCTGTGTTAGTACCTGGCATGTCGTGTGATGTCTGTGTCAGTACCTGGCATGTCTTGTGATGTCTGTGTCAGTACCTGGCATGTTGTGTGATGTCTGTGTCAGTACCTGGCATGTCTTGTGATGTCTGTGTTAGTACCTGGCATGTCTTGTGATGTCTGTGTCAGTACCTGGCATGTTGTGTGATGTCTGTGTCAGTACCTGGCATGTTGTGTGATGCCTGTGTCAGTACCTGGCATGTCTTGTGATGTCTGTGTCAGTACCTGGCATGTCTTGTGATGTCTGTGTCAGTACCTGGCATGTTGTGTGATGCCTGTATCAGTACCTGGCATGTCTTGTGATGTCTGTGTCAGTATCTGGCATGTCTTGTGATGTCTGTGTCAGTACCTGGCATGTTGTGTGATGTCTGTGTCAGTACCTGGCATGTTGTGTGATGCCTGTGTCAGTACCTGGCATGCTGTGTGATGTCTGTGTCAGTACCTGGCATGTCGTGTGATGTCTGTGTCGGTACCTGGCATGTCTTGTGATGCCGGTACCTGGCATGTCTTGTGATGTCTGTGTCAGTACCTGGCATGTCGTGTGATGTCTGTGTCAGTACCTGGCATGTCTTGTGATGCCGGTACCTGGCATGTCTTGTGATGTCTGTGTCAGTACCTGGCATGTCGTGTGATGTCTGTGTCGGTACCTGGCATGTTGTGTGATGCCTGTGCCAGAACCTGGAATGCTATGGTAGCAGCAATTTCTCAGCATTTTCAAACATCGTAGATCATAATGGTTGCCATCATTATCTTCATTATCCATCATTGTTTTAATCATCATCAGAATTACTTTGATTTCATATCTGATGGAATATTGATTCATATTCTTTATCACGCGATACAACTAAAGCCTTTGAAAGTAAATGTCAACGATTAATAGGATAGACAATCTCTTCATGGAATTGAATTTGGATCTCATTCTTTGATATTATATCTGCAATTTAAGAACATGTTCTCCGATTTTCGAATTCATCTGAAACCTAGATATGAAACTTGGGGTGTTCCCAAATTAACATCGTTTAAGAACTGACCTGACACGGAGTGACGTCTAAAATACAACTTTAAATGTTTATATCAGAATTATCGTTTTACAGTTTGAACTTTATTTTTGAAAAACTAATGAATACTTTAATATTTAAAGCTATTAATTCATGTTTAACGTTGAAATTGTTGCATTTAGTACTTAAGTAAAAAATATTCAAATGTTATAAGTTTTAATCCGAAGGTATGAAATTAATCTGAAGATTTGGGCATAGAAATATGAAAATCTAATTTCGGAAAATCATAAATTCCCAAGTCATGCCTAGTTACGAAATCTCTAGTGTGTTTATGTCAATTGTGTATTATTCTTCAATATGGCAAGATGTATGCATACACCTGGTGCATGCATGCACTGTGCCCTGTTCACAAACGTAGTCTGTGTGACGAGCATTCCACAGCAGCACGCATTTAAATGTACTCCACACGACTGATACGACTTCGTAAAATTATTTCACACACGCGTAGAGCTTACGCGTGCACGAAATTGCCTCAAGCGGCACACTGGGACGCGATATTTAATGGTCACGCTCTCTGTGCGCTCCCCCACACAGATGCCGGAGCTGATGAAAGTCACCGGTAAATTCCCCTGGGTGGTGTTTGCGCTGCAGAACGTGGGCCTGCTGGCAGGATGGAGCATCATGGTTCTGCTGGCCGTCTTTGAGGATCAAATCTCTATATGAGACATTAGTCACACACGCACACGCGGTGATTAGCTGGTGTGAGACATGCACACTCTCTGTTGAACACAATCATCTCGTGTATGCTCACTCCTGCTCAGGACCAACAGTACGTGTGGATTTGAATGCGTTATATTCATGATTGGCGTACAGTGACAAATGGCTCAATATTACATTTGTCGTGTTTATGTACTGTATCACAACAAAAGGGCTGTGGGAAAATGCTTAAAATTTTGAGAATACTGTGAGATACATGAACACTAACTCTTTATATTGCAATGTGGTGGTGGGCAAACTGTTTTTGATTGTCATGTTATTATTAATTCACTTGTTTACTCAGTAAGCCTCGCTGAGTTTCAAGACTCTTTCAGAATGGTCCTGCCAAGGATTGCAGTAGGGGCCGATTGTTGCTGTGTGTAATCCCTGTTGAGTAATCTGCTGGAAGTTTTGTCAGATGTTTAACCAAAACCGGTTACATTATGGGGGTTGTTTTAAGCTATGGGAGGAAACCAGAGTACTCGGAAGGAACCTTAGGAGCAGATTCGGAAGAACAATCAAGCTCCAAAGATAAATGTCCCTGAGTCAGGAATGGAATCCAGGAGCTAATTGCGTTCGGCACTAACGTTCCCACTGTGCCACCCGGCCACCCTTTTGAAATTGCCTCTCACGCATGCCACATTCACGGGATGTGTGTGCGTGTGGAAATGTGTGGCAAAGAGGGGTAGCATTGATCTTGTGCAAGCTGTGTCCTGTAGCTTGGATTGCCTGTGGAAGAACGAGATATCAGACCTGGAATCTTCCCGTAGACAATGGCAGTGGTTTCATGTCACTAATAAAGCAGCCACGTGGGCCCCATGAAGGCTTTCTTGGTGAACTAAGGTTTTCCATTTCTGTCATTAAGTTGCCCAGATGAGTCATCTCCCCCTCTAACTAAATTCCCACGCCCCGATGTATCACAATATATTGATAAAGTAGCATTTTAGAAAAGTATGATTCAACTTACAACGAATAGTTCCTCCGTTGCTTTGTGGGGATTGTCATCCACAGCAGAGAAGCCCATGCTGACGGAGCCCTGGACCTCACTGAAGGACTCAGTTCATTTCCAGTGTGAATGCAGGAGGCTATAATAATCTGTGTAAAGCACGATGTGAATGTGTTTTTTACTCTACATATACATACATTTTGTATCCCTCAGAGCTGGTGGGGAAAATAAAGTGCAACAACTACAGAACGTGTTTGTGTGAGCAGTTATCTTATCCATGAGAAACAGCAGATGAAGTTAGTGCCCAACTCTCCTGCCACTTGTGCATCTCCACGAGTGAAAGTTGGGTATCCCTCAGCCCATTTGTGGCATTGTTAATAGGTTAAAGGTCAGTGCCTCCCTTTTATCTGCCAATGCTGGGAACAATCGGCCACTTATTGCATGAAAATAAGTTGAACTTCGTTCACACCGTACGTAGCCAAGCATGCTAATCGGAGGTGCGGGGGAAGGCCAAACAACACAAAAAGCAGTTATAAAGAAATTAGTTTTCAATCGAGATGATTTAAAAGTGCATAGCTCCAGTGGCTTCCTAATATCGGAAGGAGGAGCGTTCCAGACGGCAGCAGAAGCGCATCTGAAAGCGTGCGATACAGTAATCATCTTTGTTCAACGGTTAGCCAAAAGCCACTGCGAGGATGAGCGAAGTTGGCGTGATGCTTCTTGACGCTATCCTCCCTTTTGTTATTTGTAGAATTGTGGGTAATACGGATACCAGTTCGACCTGACCGCGCAGATAATAGTTGTGGGCAAGGGATCAACGGGTACAAGCAATGGCACCGTAATGTATCCAGTTGTACAGGTGTGTGTCTGCTCGAGTTGAATGGCTGGCATTGTGTTGCATGCTCCATCACCATCCTCACTGGAGGGATATTGTCTGCTGGAACGCCATCGGTGTTCAAAGGCCGCTTCAAGCAACAATCGTGACAACGAGTACCGATGGTGACTTCACAACTTTATTCATGCTGGCTCCATACGTAATTTTATCATTGTAGAAAGCAAGAAAACGAAACAACTTGAGTGGTAGCTTGCAATTTATATTGTAAACGATTGGGAAAATGTGTCAATACTCGCAGGCAAGGGTTTACCGGGTTCACGGTGTACAGAATACTGCACTTTTGGCAGGCCCATTCGTTGCATGAGTCCTATAAACGCAGCTGTACCTCAAGGCACCGAGAATAAGGTTGTATATCTGCATTGACTGTAACAGTAAAATCTTAATTTCTAAGTTTTCTGGTTCTAATTGTTTACGTTAATACTTTAATTTGTCTCAATGCAATGGTGGCAGCTCGTATCTCCGGGCTGAGCAGGCAAACGAGTCTACATCCGGTTGTCATCTCGGGTAATGCGTGCAGGTGGATTGATTGCATGTGTGCGGTGTGATGGCAGTGGCTGCATCATCGATGCTCTCAATAAAAGAGGCGCTTGCAGTATATTCGGCTTTAGATGTGGCGGGAGCCCAAGACTGGTGCAATACAGGGTGCTTACATTTTTTGTTAACACTAATATGGGACTATCGTTTTTAAAGGGAATAGAACGGACAATACACTGTGACACGATAACAAATGTGATGTTAATAACTTCAAAAAGTCTCCACTTGTTCGCCATCGTTGTCAACGCGTGGCCTGGAATCTTCCCCAGGTGGCCTCCAGAGCCCGGAGGCAGCAGCACATGTCACGTGGCATTGTTGCAAATTCTCGGAAGTGTTCACATTGTTTTGAAGCACCCTGTACATTGGTTTGCGTTCTCATTCTGATTACGCTGCCAGTGAAGCTGCCTCTAACTTGGAGGCACCATCCACCACTGGTGTGGGTCATTCAGAATGTGAAATAACCCATACAGGACGCACAGGAATCCCCTAGGCCCTACGTGAAAAGCCATTGTTGGTATTATGCTCATTGAGGTTAAAAGGGGAGAGCAGTTGGCTAAACTTTCAGAGAGGAGCCACTGTCGCCGATAAGACATCATCGGTGTGACAGCAGCACGATGTTGATGTTGGGGGTTGTCACGATGTTGATGATAATGATGTTGGGGGTTGTTGTCACATCTGTTCTGTATTGTCGGGGGTCTCACTAAAGGCCCCCCACGGACCTTGCAATGAAGAGCGCTGGGGTGGAGGATCATCCTACCCACTCCCTGTACACACGTTTCCATACGTTACAAATGATATTACGAGTGTCTCATTATTTCTAGTGCAAAAAAAAGAGATGCGTTATCCACGTGAAAATATTAAATGTAGGTTAGGTTACTGCATGAAATGTTGAAACCCGGCAAGTGTATCATCACGAGCACTCATCAATGCCAGACAGGAGGACGCCGTGTTGGCTTGGACTTCTCATTGCCTGTCGAGGCCGGGCAGCTGTGCACACAGACGAGGGATCCAGCATTGTCAATGGCCCAACCACGTGATACGCGCGAGTGTTCGACCACTTTAATTTAAAATCGCCATTTCGGAGCACAGGCCAAAAGGGACAAAAATATTGTGTTATACTCGTATAATGACTCAATTTTCACGTCTCATTCCCAAGGGGGTCTTGTGCAAGTTGACAGCAGTGGCAAGAGTTCCCCAGCAAATTATTAATACAGAGTACAACGCATGCACGTAAAACAGAACATGAAATGCGATGTGCATATATAAAAAGGCGTTATTAACGATGAAATGGTGGCAATTAAAAGTTATTGCATGTGGGCGCATCACTGGAGGGGGGCGAGCGCAGCTGAATGAGCCGGGTGACAGGCGGGAGGCCAGAGGAGACGAGACAAACCCAAGAGGGTGATCACCGCAGAGGCAGAGGTGAGCTCGTGCGCACGAATGTAATGGATTGTGTTGTCGCAGAAGCATTGTGGATGGTAGATGGGGACATCGTGGGGATGGGGGGGGGCGCTTCATCATCCAGCAGAGGATAGAGCAAAGTTGATGATTGCGTGTAAACACCAAGTGTTTGTGCTGTGGACGACTTGTCCACAGCCAGGTGAACGTGGAATGTGAAGCAGTGACCGGGGAAGCGGCTGTGGCGAGCCCCACGTGTCCACCCCTCCTCACCTGTCGCTCGCCCTGCGAGGCTGTGCGAGCTGCAGGGTGCGAGCTGTGGGGTGCGCGTGGCGCTGCGCGGGGCCGCCACCGCTCGGCTCCCTGCACCCACGCCGTGCCACGGGGGAGCGCACTCCAGGTCACGCGGCAACACGTGTGCCGAGCTTCTGATCACAATGACTGCGCATCATAAACAGTGAAAGTTAAGCGATAAGCCGCGGTGCCGGTGAGGACCAAAGTGAATCTTACTGCGAGTGTGGCTGCTGCTGCTGCTCCATGAACGCGATGCCCTCTCGAGACCCCTGCTGCGCTCCGCACACAACAGCGCTGGGTTGAGAAGGGGTTTAAACCTCCACTCATTAACAAAGTTCACTGTCAATGTGTGTCCATCGTAGCAAAGTATAAATCATACCAACTTAGAAACAAGGAAGCTCTACCGTCTTTGGGCAGCGACGTTAGTAATTTATCACCCTGTTGTGTGTTTTTTTTAAACTAACACGGCTGAGCAGTCATTGTGTCTTGTTGCCACGGGGATATCACTGCACGACTTCCCTCCGTGAATGGTGCCAACGCGGCAGTTCCGATTGTGCCTGCCGGTCGGTGAAACGAGTCGGCTGCAGCTACTCTCAAGACTCGCCGGGCCTCCGCCACGGGAATGTGGAATGTCCAGCAGCTCTGAGCAAGAGACGCTGTGACCTGGCGTATTTTTTTTTGAACGATGGCGTCACGGGATCTTTAGCGTCCACTGTAAAAGCCACACAGCGCAGTATATTTACGGTTCATACACTCGACAGTTAATAACCAGGGCGGACTGACGGATTCGAACCGCAACGCTCTGCGACAAGCAACGGAAGCACCGACACGACCACTCGGACATGCTCAGGACGAATTCCTTTCTTGCCGTCACTGTCTTATTTGCTCTCGGTCGCATTCGTATTTGTTACAAAAAAAAGTTGGGTCGAAAGACTGAAGGGCAATTGGCGTCTGTTGTGCTGGACGACGCGAGCCCACGGGGTCTCCTGTCATCACGCGACATTGTCACGGGTCAAAAAAAAAACCCTTTGGCCGTATTATCGCGAATACCAAGGCAAGTACAACGTCCTCATTTCGCGATGGCATATATAATACGTACGCCGTTAGACAGACAGCAGTTTTGTGTGTGCACACGTAAGCGCTGCAACAACAATTCAATATCGCCACACAGACCACGCGAGTTATTTGCAAGGTTTTACGGCGCACGCGAGTTCGCCCCGCACCTCCGACGAGCTACGGTTGGCCACGTACGGTGCGAAAGAAGTTCAACATCCACATATTTGCTCAAGCGTACAACCGCACGAGCCACTGAAACGCTGCGCCGATGAGTGGCCGTGAAGCACACGCGACGGGCATTGCGGGGAAGGAGAGGCGACTCGCCTCCAATCCGGGACGCCGTGGACGGACGTGACCCCACGAACCCAGAAGGTGCAAGCGAGAGATGCGTCTTCTGCGACGGGAAGTCGATGTCCACTCGACAACAAGCTGCGCCAGTGGCCGGAGGTGGCAGCAGCCCTGGCGAGGCCTCCACTCGACACTGCCTGGGGGCTGGCGGGGTGGGGGGGGGGGAGTCGCGTCGCTGCCCTTGGCGGCTGAATGCGACCCCTGCCCCTCGGATTGCCGAGCGAGGACGCCTTGGCAACCAGCAGCGGCTCCCACGGCCAAACAAAGTGGGGTAAATGATGGCGACGGTGCTTCACGTCTGCAGTGAGGAGGTTGTTCTCTCAGCCTTTGACTGCTGCCGCTGCCGCTCTTGTTGGACATTTTTGGTTTCAAACCGAGGACCCCCCTCCCACCCCTCTTTGCCTGACCCAGCACGGGTTCTGATAACTAAATGTAAGAATAATGAACATCAATAGCTTATTGTTTTTCTTCTACGTGACTTTACCGAAAGAACCAAGAATATGAATCCCTGCAGTCACGAAAGCTTTAAATCAAAATAGCTTAACCAATTGTATACTTTGTGAAGTATCCCTAACCAGCGAATAACTTGCAAGCGAATACAAATACATTCACCAGACGCTCTGCACACGCGAGGTGATTTGTTCGCGCTCGCCGTTTCATCTTGGGCACCGCAATGATTACGATCAATGAGTTTAGAAAGACGTTTCATATCGTTTTAGGTTTC